GAGAGGGATAGACTTATATAATGGAACAAAGTCTTGGCATTCATTATGAAACACGAGACTAACCCCAAAAAGAACACATATCATGAATCCCTTTATCCCAAACCCCATTCTTACATACTCTTACTATACATGCCTTACTACAAGAATGTTAGCGAATCAGCACATGACACGTGTAATCTTTTAGGGCATCTTCATAAGTGAGTACCTTCATGGGCAAGATTAATTAATTTAGATATACGTTTAATACACACGCAAGTATGGTAAGTGTACGGCATAACAATACTATTATCATCCTTTCATTCAATAGCATGAAAAAAAACTTAAACTCGAAAAGAACACTTGTAATAATGTATGATTTTGCTAAATTAAACATTAGTACTTTTTTTATACGTTTCTTGATCTTTTTGTTNCATAACACATGCAATCGTGCTATGTTTTGGATACCAGACTCGTACACATTGAACGACTAAACGTGCTATGTTTTGGAAACCAGGCTCGAAGGGAACGCTTGTAATAAGGTATGATTTTGCTAAATTAAATATTAGTACTTTCTTTTATACTTTTCTTGATTTTTTTGTTAATAATGTAAATTAATTTATGAACTTTGTTTCCTTTCTCTATCACAAAGTATCAACTTCCCTCATTTTGACAGATAATGTTTCAAAAAAAAATTTGAGGACAACCCATGGGTTCTCCCACCCCTTTAACTCTGGAACCCCCCTACTTCGACGGGCTGGCTCCGCCCCTGATAGCATGTGTTTATTTTTTCTATATTCAAAGCGGTAAGAGCCACTGTGTGCATCCACCAAAGCGAAAAGAATCACATTCAACCTTCTTAGCAAAGAGAAGCCCATCCCTGAGTGCCACTACCTTTGCATCATCAATCTGAATGTTTGATGTGCAAATTATAAACTAGGATTATTAGTCACATGCGACTTTTTGTCGACGTGATATTTAATAGAAAACAAACACTTGTCAAATTTATTTAACTTATCAGTCACTTGTGATTAATATTTTGCATTTATAAAAATGTAAAACTTGTAAATACCCGACGCATGAAAAATTCATACATAGCTAGTTATATGTAATGCAACGTGTTGTATATACAGTACGTATATTCACGTGTTATACTTGTATTTGGGCTCTTTAGGTATAGTTTCTTCAAGTTTGAATTATATTTGATTTAGTCGCAATTGTAGCAATTGCATATGTTATTTTTAGTATTTGACCCTTTTTGCACTTTTGTCCCCAAAGTGGCTACAAAAGTGCAAAAGGATTCAAAGATTGGAGCTACTTTTTAACCTTTTGAAATAAGAACAAGTATAAACTAATTACTAACTATTGAAATCAATTTCCAGTCTCCCTGAGCTTCGTTTATTAATAAAAGAATTAGTAAAATGCATTAAAAATTTGAGAAAATTCACAACTCATATCATAGTTAACTACATAATATGTTAAAATCAAATTTTTAGTAGATTTCATTAAAAGTTAATGAAATCTGATGTTAAAAAATTGTGGGTCCCATAAAATATGTAATTAAATTAATTGTTGACTGAAAATCTAGATTTTAATATCTACCAAACAAGAATAATGCTATTCATCCTCACTGGGGATGAAAACACAGTTTACGTGGCGTCAATGTGACATTAAATGATAGGTGAAATTAAATAAGTCATTTAATTTTACATTTCATTTAACCTATCATTTAAAGCATTTAATTTAACATTTCATTTAATCTATCATTTAAAGTCACATAAATTTTGTNTATTCATTCCCACTGGGGATGAAAATACAATTTACGTGGCGTCAGTGTGACATTAAATGATAGGTGAAATTAAATAAGTCATTTAATTTCACCTTTCATTTAACCTATCATTTAAAGCCACATAAACTGTATTTTCATCCCCACTGGGGATGAATAACATTACTCACCAAACAAGGAATACAAGAACTTCACAGACAGATTTTTCCATCTTTGATACCCAAATTTCCGTTACATAGCAAAATCCAGCACTAATTTCGTCCGTGTTGATCAGCAATGGATTGAGTCATTCAATCTTTTGCCTTTTCAAGTTATAATTGTAGAAAAACTTGCATATGTAACAATTAATTAGTACCCATTGCAGCATGCATCATCAAGAGTGTGTAATATATGAATGAATGGTGTCATTTGAATATATTCTAAGCAAGCATGGAGCAAAAAGTCAGCAACTGATTTTAGAGACCCTTTCGTATGAATCTTTCCCATCCCAATATTCCATCCTATTAAGAGTCCTATAGAACACCCCCTACCCCACCCACCCCCACCCTTATAAATATATTAAACTAGAAAAAACTTTGCCATCACACCAATACCTGGTTTCAATACAAAATATACAATCCTACATAGTTTTTGGATAATCCCAATTAAGTAAACGTTCTTTAAAAACTAAGCATATAATGTCTTATCAAATTAGAAATATCTTCCCATTCATCATTACATTTGTTCTGTTTTTAAGTTCATGTTACAATTGCAGCTTTCATGATGATAATTTACCAAATAATAATTATTTTCAAGAAGAATCCGCTTATGATTCTGAAGCTTATCCTTCATACATTAACTCCATTGAAGGCCTCAAGTTCAACAACATGACCAAGATCGAATCTGGATTTTCCGATTATCCAACTAAGTTTCTACGGCTTGCAGCTTTTGTTAAGACAATTGATGTACAGAACTACGGAGCTAAAGGCGATGGAAGTACTGATGATACGAAGGTAAGTCCTTATTATAGGCTCGAAGCCAAAATTCGATAAGAGGATTTATTATTTAGATATTCATGCAAGAAATTCATTTAATTAATTCGTCGTAGATAAGCATAGCAGAGATGATGATGTTAAGATGATGCATCTGTTGTATCATCTTTTGTGTATGATCGACTTGCGTGGTCGCGGCATGCCTTGTATAATCCTCAACAATTTATAGTCTAATAGAGGGACGAGATTTTAGTAAAATAGGTTGTGTTGAAGACTATAAGATCTTAAGTTTTGACAAGGTGACAAGAAAATATATATTAGTACACATAGAGGCAAGCCGACCATGAGATTTTGGGGGCCTTAAGCCAATTTTAAATATGGGGCCCTGTATATATATATATCTTTCTATATATAAAAAGTGCATATTTAACGGAATTTGTTGGTTTAACGGAAAAACTAACGGAATTTGTTGTTTTAACGGATTATATAACTGAATTTCTTGTTTTAAACAGGCAGCTGCACCTTCTTTCAGTGTTTTTATCATAACTTTGTATTCTGATATTCGATTGAGGCGATTCAAAATGCGTTGGAAAGCTAACCCATCTGGCTACAACTTTGATTCAGACATCATTCTCCAATTCGATCACTTTCTATGCCAAAAATATGTCTCAATATAACGGAC